AGATAGATAGATAGATAGATAGATAGATAGATAGATAGATAGATAGATAGATAGATAGATAGAGCTGCCCATCATAAAGTTTAGGCCTTTTCGGTACCTAGTGAGATGTTCTTCCATCTGGTTAGCTTGCAACTGTGGAAGCCAGTGACAGCCAGTTTGGTCTGGACTAGGAGTGAGGAAACTTGAATTCTAGTCCTGCCTCAGGCACAAAGCCAGCCGGGTAACCCGAGCTAGTCGCTCCTGCTCAGAACTAGGAGGAAGGCAAGGGCAAACCAGTTCAGGAAGTCTTGCCAAGAGCACTGCAAAGGCCTATCCATGTATTCTCTAGAACTCAACATTGACGCCAAGGTAAAAGGAGAAGGGAAAAGGAGAATCAACTCCAGTGCAAATGCTGCAGAGATTTTCAGATTCTCAGTCAGACAAGCATGCCTCCTTCACCGCCACCCACTTCCCAAACTGGGAAAAAGTTATTTGCACCTGATGTCATGCAAGGGGAAGGAAAACAGTTTGAAGCTAAATGTATAATTTGATTGTCCTGAAAACTGAAGAGATCCAAAGGGCTTCAAAGATTTGGAGTCTGTTCTGCTTGGGCCTGTTTGTTCCCACTGGGTTCTGTTTGTGTATGTTTGCATGAATTTCCAGGTTGTGCGTCCAAAAGAAACTGAGCCCTGTTGCTCCAGAATACTTTGGTATTCAAAAAACAACAATTTATTATGAAACCATGTGCAGTGTGATTTATCATATAAAACAACGAAGCAACAAATGCATGAACTGTATTAGTGACATTCACTTAGTCAAAACGATGTTAATATCATTTTTCTTATGACATGTTTATCACCTCAGGTCTTGAAAGAATAGAAGTACAGTTGAATTTAAATTGCTACAGTATTAAAGTGAATTTGTCAAATGCTAAATTACTCGTGTTTCTTATTTCATTAGCCCGAAGAACTTTTCTACCAAAACGCAGACAAGGCAGCTGCACTACACTTACAGAGCAGGTAATTTGGCATTCACCATAATATTCAAGGGCTGAGAAGTATAATGGTCTCCAGTGTTAGAGATTACCAACAGCTGGCAGTACTGATGTGCTCTGACACATCCTTTAGCATCTGTTCTTTCACTTCAGTTGGTGGGAAGTTGCTGTGAGAAAGGGCAGTGAGTGTACCTATTTCGTGATGGCGTTAAGCTTGTCCCTTGTTGGCATAAGTACGTAGTGAATGGTGGTGATTGTACGGAGATGTAAATAGTGGTACCAAAACTCACTTCAAAATTATTTTCCTGTTGCTTTTATGACAATATTCCTATTTAAACTAAAGTTATGGCGGTGGAGGCATTACTTTTCATTCAGCCCTCATAATCTGAAGTTAGTTGGTTTTGGTTATAATTCTCCCTTGTAATTTTCTAAAGAAAGCAAAGATGTAGCAAATCATTGACCCCTTTCTTGTATAGGTACACTGGAACTCAGTTTAGTGGACCTCAGTGTCCCTTTGGAGGCAAGGCACAGAAGTCCCATTGTGTTTATGTCATATTATGCCATCTGCACCAGTTTGCTTAATGATATTCCCACCAGTGACATGCTGTCCTACTTAATGGAGAATTGGGAATAACAGATGCCATCTTTTCCCAACTGGTCTTGATTTAATGGTAATTTAGTTTCTCCTTAACCCTTTTCATGCAGAAAACACAGCTATGTCAGAAGACTGATTTTGAGTCCTTTCATCACCTAGTTCCCTAGGCTGAAGTGACAAATACTGGTGTTACATTTTTTTTTACATTACAAAAATTAACTGACTTCAGATGTTGCTTTTGAATAAGATGTGACTAAGTAACTAACTGACTAAGATGTGGAGTTTATGTTACATTTCAAAACTAGCTGGTAGTTAGGAATTTGAACTGTAGTCTTCTCAGTACCTTTTTGTAAACAAACATGTTTTATATACAGAAGTCAGAAATCACATTTCTGATGTAATTTATATAGCTGTTGGTTTACCAAGGCAAATATGGCACTCCAATTGAAAACAACTCCCAGCAGCTCACCCTTGAATTAATGTTCTGCATCAAGTGAAATGACACTTGCAGAGAACCCTCAGAATTTCAAATACAGATTTAACTTTTTTAAAAAAAATTATAAACGCAGGCTTGAGAAGATATTGAAAGAAAAAATCATGGAATGGCGGCCAAGCCACTTGACGCGTTGGAACAGATACTGTACTTCCGCTCTCCGGCATTTCTTGCCTCTGTTGGAAAAACACCAGGGCAAAGATGTAGAAGATGATCATCAGGCAGAATTACAGAAACAACTTGGGGACTACAGGGTATGGTGAAGAATTTATGTTCCTGAAAAACATTTAGTGATTTGATTGTTGTGATGCAGCAGTCCCAGTGAGGCTATAGAACAGTGTTTTTCAAACTTGGCAATTTTAATTCTGGTGTGGACTCCCAGAATTCCCTAGCCAGCATGAGGCATTCAGAAAGGACCTTGCCCCCAAGGGGAGAAATTTCCATTTAAGAGGATCTGGTTTCTCTTAGACTTAGCAGTTTACTTTTCATCCTAGCTTCTGATGGAAGCAAAGTATTGTTTTCCCTGTGCCATGTTTGGAAAGATCATCTGTTTTAACTGGTAAAAGTACACATTTCTGGAAAATTGAGCAAGATTTCCTGAGAAGGGGAGACCCAAGCCAGCCTTGATTTTGATAGAGTCTGTTCTAAATCAGCCCCTTGGCTCACCTAGCACTGCTTAAAGGAGACGGGCCTATTTATAACCCTCCTTTGCATTACTACTCATGTGCAGAAGTGGTAGTGGTTCCAATTTCACCTGTTTGCTTAGTTCCTTTTTCCAAAATGACAAAGTGAGAGAAGTAACTTTTGATGAATTTGAACAGCAGTCTGGGGGGAGTACCAAACTAGTGTTTGTTCCACACATACTCATGAAACACATAACAGAGAAGAGTGAGCAGGTTTAATTATAAATTATACCTGATACAGATCTGGACTTTTTTTTAATTGTATTTTGATAGGAGTGGCATCTGTAAATGCAAAACAGAGACGTTGCAAGCACTGTTGCTGAATCCTGATTTATTAACATTATATGTTGATCTTTATTTGTGGAAGAGAGCAAAAACAGAATTGCTGGCAGGGGCGTCCATAGAAACAGGTCAAAAAAGTGATAATGACCCCCAACCACGTGATCCAAGTCCTGCCCTTTTTACCCATGGAGCTTCAATTGCATGGCTATGGCCACCATCTTGACTTTTTCACACTGCCTCCCCCCCCCAAAAAAATTGCTGTTAATTGCTCCAATTGTGAACCATCTTAGCTATATGAGCTTCTGCTTAAATAGAATTTGATGCTGTATTTATTTGACAGAAATGCTGTCAGCAGCGGGATCCTGAAGGCAAAGGCCTACCTCTCACCCCCCCCCCCCCC